GATTCAGCAAAATCAAGGATGCAAACTTCTTAGGAGTACTTAGTTTCCATGGCAACCAGAGCTGACCTCAACATTATTGTTCTCAAGAGGGGACTGACTTTACTATATGTTCATTCACTGAATTAATGGACTCCCGGTTCTTTTATCAGCAACCCCCGAACAATGGAAAGAGAGACATGTCGTCGAAGGGCTTTCAGGCCCTGTCCAGCCTTTTGTGCCCGGCTTACTGCGAGGAGGCAAGTCTATTCAGCCCGAGATTATCAAAATCAACTCGGGGCTGTCTCAGGGCAGCTAAACACACTTTGATTTCATAAAGACATAACTGATCCCACATGCAAATTAATTTCTTAGGTTAGGGACTATGGTGTGATTTTTTTTTTTCCTCCTTCTGGCAATAAAGAGCGTTGTAGGGAAACAGCAGTTTAGTTATAGTGCCCTGTGGGGTCTCAGTGCAGTGGGCAGGCTGGCAGGGGCAACCAGGGAAAGGATTTCGAGAACTCCCCTCGAAGGCACAGTGTTGGACATCACCAAGCTAAGGTGGTGACAGGGTCCCCAGTTACAGAGAGTACCTGCGCCCCCGCCCGGGGGGGGGGAGCTTGGCATCTCCTTCTCCGGGTCTCTGCATTACTTATTCCAACTGCATTGCTAGCCCTCCCTTCTCATCTATCCCTTGCCCTCCAGCCACGTGGAAAATACCTCTGCTTCCCCAGGAGGAAACAATACGAACAAAACAAACCATAGGCAGAGAGACCCAGGACCAATCCCTGGGCACGCAGTGTTGTGCAGAGCTATCGGCCAGCCAAGGGCCAAGCCACCACCACACCGGGACGTGGTCTGTCCAGGCTTCGGGGTGTGTGGCCGCCGAGTAATTGCTGCACAAAGAGCACTTGGCAGTGGCCTGTCTGCCTCTGCACCCGCTCCCTGGAGCACGCTGAGCTCTTATCCCGGGCTCCACAGTCACCCTTCATTAGCTCCGCGTCCCCGGAGAGGGACCCAGGAGACCTCTGAGCTTCCTGTTACCACAGGCATCTCACGGCCACACAAGAGCCCAGTGGGACAGGCCGAGGGTCTAACACCCACATAATCATTTCACAAATTATCATAATTATCAATCAATCACTCCCTTTGGACAATGCGAGGCAGGGCTATCCGATGACTTTTCTGACCTGTAGCATTTTGTATGTAATAATAACGGGAAGAGATTTATGACCCATCGTGTCCCCTCTTCCAGCGTGGGACTCCCTTCGCTGAATTTATTTTCGACTCCTCCGGACCTCCCGCCCCGGCCCCGAGGGCTTCGCCAGAGGCACCTCCTCTGGTCAGGTCCTTTTCCCAAGGAGGCAAATTCCCGATTTATTTATTTGGTGGGGGTGTCGAGAAAGGGAGAAAAGAAAAACACAAAGAGAAAGGGCACTTCCTTTTGTTAGAGCTCCCCCCAGTCGCACTGTATTAACACGTCCTTCCTTTTAAAGTCGGTGAAAGAAAACAAGATAAACTAGGACAAAGGCAGAGGCCATGGGGCCGTGTTTCCCCCTTTCATATCACCGAAGAGATTGAATCAAAATTCCTTCAGCTGATAGCATCTCCCCGGCGGACTACACTCTTGTTAACGGATAAATTCAAGCCCTCCAGAAAGTCAAAGAATAAATTTAAGCCTTTTGCCAAATGTCTATCCTATTGGATTTTGATAAGACGGCCATTGAGCCTTAATAATGTCTTCCATCCATTTTCCGCGAGCGAGCCCTTAACTCGGCTCTTTATCCGTCCCCAAAGCCTCCTCGCCCGGCCTTTTTATTACGGGCCCCGGCGCGCTCTCCAGGGAGCCGGCGGTGATGGATGGACGGCCGGCTCGATTATCTCCCGCAGATGTTTGCTCTCCGGGACCCCGGGCTTCCCCCTAGGTAAACAGACCCCAATAGAGGGGGCGGCGCGGGGCAGCCGCAGAGGTCCGGCCCAGAGGGGACTTCGGGGACGCGCGCCACGCGCCCTGGGCGCACACGGGACGAGGGAACGGGCAGCAGGCGGAAGATAGGGCCGCGCGGCGCGGAGACGGAGGGGACGAGGGACGAGCCGGAGCCCGGGCCAGAACAGGAGGACGGAGGGGGTGGGAGGGGACAAAGGGACGCAGGAGGGGTGCAGGAGAAGGGCAGGCGGAGGCTCCACCCCTCCTGGGGGCGGGGTCTGGCAGGCGCGGCTCACAGGCTGCGGCCGCTGTCGCTCCGAGGCAGGCCCCGCCCCCGGCGCAGACCCCGCCCCCAGAGCCGGTTCCCTGGGGTCTCGGGTGTAGATCCAACCCTGCTGAGTGTTCTGAGCCACCCTCCCTGGGCCTGGGCTCCACAAGCTGCAGAACTTCTAACAGCGACTTACCGGGGATATGTCACCTTTCCCATCGCAGTGGCAAGCCCCTGATAGCATAAACTGTTACATTTCATGAAGCAGGCCGCGGACGGGAGGTAGCGTCCTCCCCAGGGTGGATGAGCGCAAGCTGAGATGCGAACAACCCAAGGTCACAACCAAGGCCACCCAGCCCCCGCACTTCCCCACCATCTTTTTAATGCAAAGTGCGCCCATGCTTGGGTGACCCAACTATAAAACCAGCACACCAGGAAGTCACTAAATTCATCCCTGCCACAGCACAGGAGGGCCTGCATGAGGCGTCACGTGGCAATAGACCGCTAGCTGTTCACCAGGTCGCCCACAGCGCTAAGCATGGATCTGTGCCTGGGACAGGCACTACCAGGAAGAGAAGCTGAACCTCAGCCAGGCTGCCTTCTCTCTGGTCCTGACCCGTGACCTCTGTCTCTCCCAGGGTCTGGCTGCCCCGGATGGGTCCAGACCTGAGCTGCAGCTTTAGGTTCTGGTCATCTCGCCAGGTGACCTGGGCAGACGCCAGCGCCCCAAATGCCTCTGCTCTGGGCTCAGCTGAAGGCTGGGCCATGGTGGGGTTCCAGGGCTGTGGTGCACTGTGTGGAGTGCAAGGATGAGGACCCCCGACCTCCAGCTCCCTCTTGGGGCGGTGTTGAGAGAAGCTAGGAAGAGTCGGAGTCAGAAGATGCTTTCTCAGGCTGGCTACTCGGTCCTCTCCAGCCCCGGAACCCGAGGCTGCCTGGCTCTCGCTCCAGCCTCCAGGAGGCTGGGTCTGTTCTGTGCCACCCCAACCTGCATTTGGTGAAGACTCCCATCACCACCACCACTTTGGAGAGCTGCAAGTGGGTGCCTGGGCACAAGGTGTCCTATGCTCGTCCTGTGAGCTCCCGGGATGACCTCGGGCCACAAAGACAGGACTTCACGCACCCACCAATTATTGGTGAAAAGGCCAATCCAAAGCAGGAGCAGAGGGGACAGTGACCGCTGTCACTCTTGTCCTGTCTTACTTGGGTTCAGAAGCAGCCAGCACTTGCCTCTTCTCAGCCCTTTAACTTCAGACTTGACCTTTCAGCCTCCTGCCTTGACACTTGCACCCCCGCTGACAGCCCCAGTGCCCACCTGGCCTCCATCCACCCTGTGAATCCCCACCCGGCCACCTCTCCACGCATCCAGGAGAAACAACAAGGTCGCCTCTGAACGTTGCCCCGCCCAGCTGCCAGTGTGTGGTGAGGCAGCTAAGGTCTCCCTTTCTAGAAGGCATAGGATTGGTGTCGTGGGCTACAGACCACTTTCCCAGGGAAGTGAAAACACGGCTCTTTGAGAAACAGAAGCACTGCGTCCTCCCTCTTGCTACCTTATATCCTCGGAGAAAATTCCGACGTGTTCAAAGAGGCAGGAAAGCAGAGAGAGCAAGTGGGAGCCGCACGGCACTGTCACCTGAAGGAAAGGAGGGCCCAGGTCTCTCCTGGCAGTGGGGACTGAGATCTTGTCCCCAGAGGCCCCTCTGAGGCCAGACAGCCCATGGTGACAGGATGAGCAGGGTGGGCCGGAAGTGCTTGTGCCAGCGCTAGGTTGGGCCTAGTAGAGGGCCAGGGGCCAGGCTCGGTCCACAGGAGCCTGGGCAGAGCTGGTGCCACAGCCTGTTCTCCCCAGGGAAGCAGGAAGGGGTACTGCCCATGGCGCAATGCTGGGCAGAGGGTGTGAGGCCAGGCTTTTCTGTTCACAGGGAGGGCAGGATCCCAAGCGCAGATTCTGCACTGCAGAATCCACTGGACCACTTGGCCTGACTCAGCCTCCCCAGCAGCCTGTGCTGAGCTCCCAGCGCTGCCTGGTGGAGCGTGGGCGCCTTTGCCTTTTATCTTTCTTGAGAACAGACATGCTTGGGGTGGGGGTTAGTTTAATTTTACCAGAAAGCCCAAACCCTGGATCAGCTACCTGCATGGAGGCGGCACATACTGGGTGAAGCTGAGCAGTACCTGCAGGAGATTCGGGGCTTGGGAGGTGATATGAGGACCAGGCCCTGCCCCGGGGTCTACACAGAGCATGCACGCACAGGTACGCATGGCCCGCACACACTCTCTGGGGCCGTGCGTGCCTCTCCCTGCCGACCTCTCTCTCGGAATCTCGGATCCTCTGTTTGCCAACCAGCTATCACCCATCATCAGTCTGCAGAGGAGCAGATAACGCCACATTGACGCTTTTTCTTTCCCTAATGGGCTTGCTTATTTAAAGTGATGCTTGAGCCCTTTTTGGAAGCTCTGAGTGCAGCAAAATGCTCTGCTGAATCCGCAGCCAAGTGTTCCTCCCCCAGCCTTTCACGAGAGAATCCAGTGAAGATAGCTAAATAAACACAGCCTGTGTTTATTTAGTTTCCGTGTGTGCGCGGCCTGAGGCATTCCCAGAGGTACAGGGTGCTTCTCTGATCTTAAGCCTCGGGATGCCCAGAGAAGTGACCTCCACCCGCTTACACAATAAAAATAAGCATCCTCCTAGCTCCTTCTGAATCACTGTTCTCAGAGAGCACCTTGTTCCTGGACTACTGGCGGCACACGAGCTACACACTCGGAGGTAACGGAAATGGTGAGGTCACCCAGACAGCAGGGGCCACAGGGGCCCTGGAGGAGGTCGCCTACCTTCTTGATGCAGCCTTCCTGGGACGACACCTCCGTATCTGTTAGCATTGGCTGCAAGACAATTGTGAGAGGGGTTGTTAGTTCATGACAGATTTCCTTCTCAAACTACAGGGGTTATGGACACTGGGGCAGATCAGAAGTCTTCTCAGTAGCAAGGGTGGGTCCAAGTGGCTTCTCTGTCACTGGTGATAATGGGGACCCCCTTTATTCCAGCAGAGGCTCCCCTGTTTTGGAGGACTCTGAGCATCCCTGGGAGTGTCATGGGCCCTTGCTGGGTCACTCACTGTGGCCCTTTAGTAACTGGTGGGGACCTGTGGGGCAAAACACAGGGACACGAGAGGGAAATCTGCTCTCACTCCTAGGGCTCCCCAGCAACCCTGAAAGATTACTCCAAAGGATGCTTTGCCTGTCTGTCCAGTCCAGAGGGTGAGGAGGACCACGTGGTCCCTGCCCTGGGCGCCTCCAGCCTGGCTTGGGAGGTGGTGCTCAGGGAAGCCTCTGGAGTTCAAGCCAGGCACAGGAGGCAGAGCTAGGGGAGGCAGGAGTGAGGGCCGGGGTCGCCCTCCCACCCGCTTCCTCCTCAGCTGGCAGCTCAGGGGCAGCAGTTTTGGAGCCTCCTCTGCACTAGCACCCTGGGTCCTGAGAAGAGGACGTTTATCCTGGTGTTGGAGGGAACCCCTCAAAGTGCACCCTGGTACCCGCTGATGCCCACAGAGTCAAGGTAAGAGGACCCGGCACAGCATTCAACACACGGGCTCATGTGCCTGCCCAGCTGTCACAACAAGAGGTCGTATTTCTAACCCATTGGAGATTTTACTTTTCTTTTAATAGATTCTGAAATTGTGGTTTGGAGAGCGGCAGTGAGTGAAACAAGAATGGGACGGAGAAAGGTGAAGGCCACAAAAGAGACCCCGGGGAAGTCTCTTCCCAGGAGAATCTGCCAAGCCCGGGTGGCATGCCGGCTCCGCCCCACCTGCTCTGGCACCGGTGTGTGTAGCATTGGGCTCAGAGCGAGAGGCCGTGTCTTCCCTCGGTCTGTCTGCTCTCGGCCCCAGCCCAGGCCCAGGAAGGGCCGCCCAGCTCAGGTGGTGCTGAGACGGAAGGTGGTGCATCGCCTGGGCTTCAGGAAAATCTAAGGCCACTGTGCCCACCTGAGGTGAATATTTCTTAAGTTCACATGGTTGATGGGATCCGAGGGCCCAAGCTAGCTGTCAGCAGGCAGAGTGGGATCTGGTCTCTGCAGATGCTGGAGGCCACATCCTGGAACCGTGTCCCCCTCTGTATGTGGTGACAGCTACTGTGAGTTGAGGCCAGGCCAACCTGAGCGGACAAGAGGTCCTAAGGAGTTGGAACCAGACCTCGGCCTTGGAGAGAAAGACGACCGGGCTGCATTGGGCCAAGGGAAGGCACAGTGCCCTCCTCTGAGGAGGACATGTGCTGCAGAAGCCACCTGTCCCCGTGATGCAGGATTCCCAAAGGCCAGTCCTTCCTGCAGCCCGGCTCCCATGGGCTCTGTGGCCTGCACTTAGGCGGCCCACACCAGCCATGCGCGACTCAGCCAGGAACCCCTGCTCCCAAACCCACAGGAGAGGCATCCCTGAGAACTGGTTGTCGCCAGCAGAGGAAAGGCGTCCCTGAAAGGTGGTGGGCATCTGGCAGAGGGAGTGGCTGCTCTGCAGGTGCTGGGCCTTCGCACCTAACTCCTGAATGTCTCAAAGCTCAGCCCAAGGGACACCTGTGTGCCACAGACCTTGGGCTGCAGGTGACCACAGCACCTGCCCTCTGTCAGAGACTGAGAAGTGGCCAGGTGGGATGGAGGGCGAAGGCTCCCAACCTGCTCTCAGACCATCATGGGATGGACACAGAGAGGGGTCTTCGAACAATGCCACCCCCAAGGTTCAAGACACACTAGGGTCAGCCTGGCACCGCGAGTTACTGCACCAGCCAGGCGGTGGGTTAAACGGTATACTCCGGAGCACGGCGGAGCCACGTAAGGTCAGCCATCTCGGGTACGTGATGCTGGGGAGGGACGCCCAGCCCGACGCCGCTCAGAGCAAGTGGACGCCCCTGGCTCTCCAGCAAGAAGCACCTCCTGCAGCTGGGGCTGAGCCGTGTTCCGGAACCACGGCTCTGCTTCACAGCTGCCCTGGCCGGTATGAATGTCATTAACGCGGCCTCCTCACCCACTGCTGACCTCGGGTGGAAGCCACCGGACGCACCCCAGAGCCGCCAGCCTTGGCTTCCTCCCCGGCCGGCCGCTGCCCCGCTGAAAACCTTCTTTATTTTGCTGGCTTAGCCTCGGCACACGCACAGCTGGCGTGGGGATGGCTGGCAGTGGCTCCAGGCCCTCCACTTCTCTGCACCCCGGCAGAGGTATTAGGTGTGTTTTGATTAAACATTTTAGCCAAAAATGCGAGGTCTGACCTCCGGCATTTAGCTTCTCTCTCGAGTATCAGTGCCAGGATTTAGCTAAGTGGGGCTGGTCAAAACATCTTTTTTGACTCTTAAAATAAATACCCTCTGTTCTCCAAGAAATCGGCAAGGAGCTGACACACACTTGCATGGACACTGCCTAGGCTCACAGCTAGGCAGGCTGGCACGCCCCTGAGGGGCTGGTGTTCCCTGCCATGGCACATCCAAGAAGCCCCCCCTCCTTGAAATGATCGGGTAGCAAAGAATCTGAACCGTGCCTGCGGGAGGAAGCCCGGACCCGGGGATGTGCCCGGGGGAGGAAGCCCAGAGCGAGCTGGGCCAGGAGGCAGCTCCAAAGCCAGAGAAGGGGACAACGTCCAGTGTGTGACACACCCTCCAGCCCAGCCTGGCAAGATGATCCTGGAGCCCTCTGGTTTATCCACCTCTCGCCCCTGCCTTTAAGCCCAACCCTCTCTCTGGCCTCTGTTTCTTCCTCTTCTGTTTCTCAAGTTGTTTATTTGCACCCAAAGATGTGGTGTGAGGTCACAACGCTGAGTCGGCTTCCTTTGGGGCTGGGTCAGCGCTGCCTGTGCCGGCACTCCGGGTATTAGAGGAGGGAGCGCAAGTGAGGGCTTGGGTTCCGCTAGAGACCATGCGAGTGGATGGCCAAGCGTGGTAGCCCGTGACCCTCACTGTCAGAACTGTGGCCTCCATGTGGCCGTCCTTCCTCCAAGGTCTTAGGCCCCAGAAGCAGGGCTCTCGTGCACCAAAGCTCAGCCCTCACGAGCCCACTGTGCCCAGAGCCATCTCATCCTGGGAAGATAGAATTTTTAAAGAACAATTGCCATCCCTGACTTTCCGTCCAAACCAAAGCCCTGCGATTGCTGCCAGTTCCCCTGGTGTAAAGGCAGCACTGAAGCCTTGGGGACGGCGAGGGCGGTGATGGTGGCAGCGGGTCATCCTCCTGGGATGAAAAGCGGGGAACAAATTTCTGCTTCTCACAGTGGCCCCAAAGGAGGCAGGCGCAGCAGCTGCCACACCATGAAGACAGGGGAGGCTGAGGCACAGGGAGAAGGTCGCGCGCTGCCGAGGGCCAGCCTCACTTGCACTGGCCTTTGATACTAAGCTCAGCCCCGGGAGAGAAGAGGCCGCTGGGAAAACACAGGGGCAGCCAGGAGCCCCTCACCCGGGACTCACACCTGAGGCTGGCCGGGACAGCCGGGAGGGGGCACCCTGCAGCGCAGCGCTGGCCCGGGCGAGCTGGGTGGCAGCCCACTGGCAGCGAGGGCGGACCGGCGAAGGCGTTGAGTCACTGGGCCGGCTCTGGCTCCCGAGCAAAGGCCCCAGCCGTGTTGACACAAACCCTTGAGCTCTCAACTGGGAGTGGGGTCATATTTATTTATTTTTTGCATTAAAAAAATCAGCTTGGCTGTGTTTGAGCTGCAGAAATGATTTTTTTAAGGAGCTGTGGACACTGTTTTTAGCTTTTATGCCTAAACAGATACTTCTCAGTTCTTTCAAGTGCGAGCAGCCGATGAATGGAGGCTCTCTCTCGCTCCTAAGAAAAATATTTACACAGTCGAGTGCTGTGCAAGGAGGACGCGGGACGGGCTCGGGACCCCGTCCTGGTGCGGAGGGGGCCCCACACCCGTCTGCGCCCTCCGCTGCCCTCCTCAGGCTGTTTTCAGCCCCCAGTTTGCACCCTGACATGGTAGGTCCTTTACAGAGACCCCACAAGGGTTTGCCAGACAAGGGGGAGCGCCCGCCGGAGACCCCTGGCTGCAGGCAGCGGCTGTGGACAGGCCTGCTCCCCTCGGCGCACCCCCCAGCACCCTGCTCCCTGTGAGCAGGCGGCGCCCTTCCCTCGGGGCCCGTCTGGGTGTGGCAAGGCCTCTGCCTGGTTCAGGTCACGAGAGCACCAGGCCCACAGGCCTCTGCCGCCGCACGCAGATGACTGTCCCCACACAGGCCCACCCTCCCCGCCCGGCCGTGCAGACAGAACCTGGCCACGGCTTGCCGCCCTCGGCCGTTCCAAGAACACTCTGCTCACTGGCAGCTCCGACGCAAGCGCGGCCCCTCGGCCCAGACACCCTTCCCCGTGGAGCCCGGCCAGGGCCTGCCGCTTCCTGCTGCAGAGGGGCCGCGGCATCTCTCCCAGATCCCCTGCCTTTTGTATCCTTGTTTTGGAGCAGCCATTGAGCACTGTCTGGCTACACTGCCCGTGAAAGTCACCTTGGCCGCACTGGTGCAAGGTCTATAACTTTGGGGCAAAGACAGTGGATACACAGGCGCGTGCATCCAGGCACACACTCACACACACGCATGCACACGCACGTGCTTCTACAGTACAATGATGCTAGGCAAGGGAGGACCACTGGCCTGTGGCTGAGTACCTCGGGAGGGGCTGGGGGCAAGTAGTAGGCAGAGAAGGGCAGGGGCAACGGTGGATTGGGGCAAAGGTCGGTGCCTAGAAGACAGAGGAGCAACCTGGTTTGAAGACCGTTAGGCCAAGCAGAGAGCGGGTACAGATGGACGGTGTGGTTCAGGGCAGAGGAAAGGCGGGGCAGAGGAGAAGGGGCCTGCCAGAAACGACGGTGGCTCGAGGGGTCCAGCCTGGGGGTCTGCTGTGCAGGCTGGGT